TTTAAGAAGTATAAGAATAAATGTTTATTAGCAATATATTTATACAATACCGTGTCAAAGATGAATATAATACATTATTATTTATCATTATACATAGAATTTCAATTTGTTTTTAATCCTTAAATTTTTTAATATCTATATTATTAATTGCTTTAAAAACATTGATAATTCTTAACCAACTTTAAAATTAATTTTATAGTAAAATGTTAAGACATCTCAACAATTTTGTGCTGGTGTGTTTTGTTTTTGAACTGCTGAATTAATTCACAATAATTTTTCTAATAATAGAATTCTTACTGATTGTTTATGAATAACTTCCACAATTTGATTTAGAATACTCACACTAAATGATTTTTTACTTCTATCTAAAAGTATTCTATCTTAATTTTAAGGATATTGCATAATATATATTAAACTAATTATCATATTACAAACATAATTTATAAATTTGCAAAAATATTTATGATTCGACAAACTTAAGGTAAATTACAAACAATATATCATTAGAATCTAAGTAGTTTGAATATACCTTTCTATTCTATTTTATTATCACAAATGACCTTTCAAATCATTCTAATAATATAAATTTTAACAAAAGTAAATTTTCTAATTGAAAATTAAGTTGATGTCAACACAAATTCCTTAGTTAATGATTACAGAGTAGCCATTAGATGATTAATAGGATTTTCTAAACTATTCATTGTCTGAGGTTTATTTTTCAGTAAGCAAATTTAAAGACAATAGAAAAAATGTTAGCGAAAACTCAATGAATTTGAATTATAAAGAATAGGAAAATTCAACTCCAATTTCTCCTAATAATATAAATTAAACTAAACCTAGCTATCTTTCATCTGCTTAAAAATCAAACTCTTAAGAAAGAATAAGCGTAAATACAACATAAGAAAAAGTATATAGAGATTTTTTCCAATATTTTCTAATTTAAAAGTTTGTTCACAAAATATCATTTAAAAAGAAGTTAAATTCGTTGTTTGACAGATATCATTTTGAAGTAATCAACGACCTGGGTGCTTCATTTGATATAAATTTATTTAGAGAAAATACAATAAAATTAACACCTATTATTGTAAAATAAGTTAGAAAAATAGAAAATCAATTTTCCATGAGATTGAAATAAATAACCTCTTAAATTCAATAAAGGTGGACAATATTCATAAATAAAATTCCATTAATATATCCAGAATCAAAATTGAAATTGATATGGGATGGAATAGTAACAGCAGCAAGATTTTATTTCATCTTTATAATTCCTCTAGATCTTGCTTGGGAAATTGAATAATTTATGTTTGACTTTCTAATTGTACCTACTTCGCTTATGCTTGCTTTATTAATAATTGATTATATTATCAGTTTTAATCAAGCATTTTATGAATTCGGATCTATTGTAACTGATCGGCGTAAGATTGTTCAATATGTTTTAACAAAAAGTTATGGTTTAGACATTGTATCAATTTTATTCTTAATAATTTTTTTAATAATATCTGTGTTCGAGAATTAAGCAGTAAGCTTAACTGAGAATTGGTATCAATTATTATTACTGTTGTTTCTTATTTAATATAAGAATGTATCAAAATTATCAGAATAAGTTGAGGAAGCTTTGAATTTATCAAAATAGATGAGTTCATTGTTAGAATTAAGTAAGTTATTTTTTTTGTTGTCTTTTGTCTTACATATCTTTTCTTGTTTGTGGTTTTGGATTGGATATTACTAATTGACAAATAATCACAAAACCTGGGTACCTTTAAAAAACCTATATTAAATGAATTGGAATGAATAATACCCATATTCCTTTTTATTTTTCTC